GGTGCGGATGCTTTCAAATCTGCGCCTGAAATCCACCGAGTGTCGTCGCGATCGCATGCTTTGAATGTGACTTTGTACTGCCGCGGCTTGCTGCCGTACTTGCGATCGGAGATGACGCGGTCAACTTCCTGATGGCCATCCATACAAGGAGGGTCCTGCGATCGTCGGTCCGGAAAGTCGTCGCTCTTGGCTGGCGTGTATGTTGCCAGCTTCGAGGCGTGGAAGACCGGATGGACTGTCAGATGCTATGGAATGTTGATCACAAATGAAGGGCCATCGGGCTCGTCGCCCGCGGCTGCTGTCACAGACCAAGGTCCAAACCACTTGGGAAGCAGTTTGCGTGAAACATCCTGTTCCAGTGCAAACTCTTCCACGGAGACCCAATGTCGTCGAGGTAGATAAGTACAAAACGATCTAGCATGTGTCGGAACTCCGTTGTCATAGCCGCTTGGAAAGTGATCGAGGCATTCGTAAGGCCAAATGGCATGACCAACCATTCGAAATGCCCATACCGTGTCTTGAACGCGGTCTTGCAGCGATCCTCCTTGCGAATCTCGAGTTGGTGGTACCCTGACTTGAGATCCAGCTTGGATGAGAACTTGGCGTCGCCCAGTCGCTCGAGAAGGTCGTCGATGCGTGGGAGAGGGCCGGCGTTCCTGATCGTCTGCGCGTTGAGCTTGCGATAATCGATGCACAACCGCAGGTCCTTGTTCTTCTTCCGGACGAAGAGAACAGGAGCACCGTATAGCGATGAGTTAGGCCGAATCCAGCCTTTCTCTAGAAGTTCATCGAGTTGTGCGCGAAGCACACTTAACTCTTCCTCGCTCATTCGGTAGATGCAACCGCGCGGAGGTACGGCCCCGTCCTCGAGGATGATCTCGTGGCGGATGGGTCGATCCGGTACTACTCCGTGCGGGCCTTCGAACACGTCGATGTAGGCGTCGAGAAGTTCGGTGATGTGTGGATCCGAAGATGTGTCCGTCGATGAAGCGTCTCGGGGCGGGAGGGCGTGGAGAAAACATACCCCCATCTCCTCGATGTCGTCTCTGATGATGGATGCTCGCATGCTAGCGGCGGATACCACGTGGCAGCTGATGGAAGGATGAGGAAGAGCACCGTGCATGGAACTAGTGCTCCGTTCCGATCACGAATGTGAACGGTGCGGTTGAAGAAGTTCACCGGGTGATAGCTTCGCAGCCATGACATGCCCAAGATCATGTCGAATTTGGTGTCCAGAGCCTCACTTGCGTGAGGGGCAAAGTACACGGGGACGGCGTCAATGCACCGGTCGATTGACTTGTGCGTATGACCGTCTGCCAACGTGACGTGCGTAGGCTGGGACTTCTTCCGGACACGTGGGCCAAGGACGGTGCGCACCATGAAGTCCTGGCTGATGTAGTTGCGAGATGCTCTGCAATCGATGAAGGCACTGCAGGTCGCCTCACCAATCTGAATGCGTATGTATAGCAATGGTGCGTCGATGTCGTCGTACCGTTGCGTCTTGAACTCGCGGTCAATCTTCGCGATGTAATCGTAAAGGTTGACAACCTCTACTCCGCCGTCCATCAACGGAGCTGGTACTGCAGTGTGCAAGTAGTCCCGCAATTGTGCCATAAGCACGTTGCAAGTGGTTTCGGCAATCGTTCGGTCGAGGGAACGGGCATCCATTGGAAGTCCGTGAACGTTAGAGGGTCGAGCACTTCAAGTCTTGATCATGACGATGAATCCCTGGCGATAGATTGCGGCGAAGCTGCCGAATCGGTTGTCGATGGTGATGAAACCGTGCATGCGGTGGACTGTTGCACGTGGAGCGGTTGGTCCAGCGGTGGAACCAAGTAGACAGCATAGTCATCGTAAGTGTAACGAGAACTTGAGACATTCGCGTTCTCCCCAGATGTGCAGGAGGCCGCTAGCAAGGCGGCCGAATCTGGCGGAGTAGAAGGTGGAGTCGCCTCACCTTCCGCGGAGCTCAGTT